AACAACCTAAATAGATTAGGTCGTCCTATATGTTCGTGGCAAGTTTTGTATCACAACTTAAAGCAATATTTCATACGAGTTATCGAATTTAATGGAAAACAGTAAACTTCCCTTTCTTTGACAAAACCATTATATCGTCGCTACAAAACTTCTTTAATTTTTTATTAAATTATCAACGCTATTGCTTAAAACGTAAACATTTTTAAATTGTTTACCCACTAATAAGCCTCAAGATTTCTCCATTTCTTATTTCCAGTTATTAAATAATTATTAGTAATTTTTTAATTTACTGTAAACACTTATTTCCATTGCATCGTATATTTTTTCACATATGTATCGTTTTAATTTCTTTGATACAAATAAATACACTATAATTGTCGGTAGTTCTAGTGTTAAGTGGGAAGGTTTGATTTTATTATATGCTAACAAAGATAACACAAGCTCGACCTTTGATACAATACCTATTTGTTTCAAATTTCTATGAATTCATGTTTAAAGTTTCTGAAATCCTCTGAGCAGACAAATTTCGTTTGTTTTCTACTAAATTACAAATACTATCGTCAATTTGAGAATATATGCGACGACCTAATAGCGTCGAAAAGAAGGTATAATTCAGAAATATCTTCATCAAGGATCTTCCGAGGACTTATACATATTTTTTGCACGTATCACTTTCATTTCGGTCATTGATATCTGTGCTCTTCTTCCTGAAATATAGAATGATCAGTGACAGGAATACATTCTCTCATGTGGACTGTCATGACTCCCTATCAGCACGGATAATGGACACTTTGATGTAGATGAAATTATAGCCGAAAATACGTGAAAGCGGGAATGCGTTTGACGATCGATCATTCTGGCTGAAACGCTCCCTGCACGATACATAAAATCTAAACGAACGAACAAGGTTTCGAAATTCCAAGCAGTTTTGACGTCGACGCGACGAGCAGCGGTTTCACGCGTATTCGACACGGAGAAGCGTTAAAATTCCCGAGCGTCGTTCACCGAACGAAGCGAAAAACAGAACGATTAGGCGACCAAACAACAGTTTCGAACAACTAGCCGAAGAAGTGACAGTTATTTTGTCATGGGACATGGAACAATACGACGTGGGCCCGCCCACGATACGATTCGCAGATCGAATTATAGCGCGAGTCACGACGGTCATGAATAAATGACGCCGAAACGTCCAATCTCGGTCCCGTCCAAAAATATGAGAGTTCTAACAGCGGCCTGTCATCTCCAGAGACAGCTTTAACGCGATAATGTGCGATGGGCCTGACCTAGGCTGTGCACCGGCCGTGACCTTCGTAGCGAATCGAGGCCGGTTCGTCGTTCGTGCGTACTTGGAAATTCGTGTATATACCACGGAGTGTCGCGTGATTCCAGGTACAACCGAGGTGCAAACGATTCGAAAATAACCGTTTCTCGCGCGGGGATTAGTACCCGAAACCGTGGCCTTGGGAACGGTCTTAAAATTCGAGCGTTGCAAGTTTCAAAGCCAGCATAGTCGAAAGCAACGGTCGCTGGGAAAAACGAAATGTGCCATACATCGTGGATTTAGAGCCTTCGTCAGCAAACGCTGACATATTCTTGCACTGGAACTGACGAAGTTTGATCGAATTCCGGTTGCAATTTATCCTGCGCGATCACGATGCAATTAGCGCACTCGTTTGGTCGTAGTGGTTGGTAGGGTACATCGATACGCGGGGGAACGTTTAAAAGACGGGTAAATCGACCGGTTGTCCCTCGCGAATAATTGTTCGAGGATAATCGAAAGCCGAGAATCGACGGGGAACAACGGGCGAACGCGTTCCGTTTCGTAGTTCTCGATTTTATACAATTCAGCGATATAAGCAGAAGCTCGTGCACCGACGCGCATACGTCGTGAACGAGGCGATCGACCGGCGAACGAGAGGCAAAGATCGATCGATCTCTCGAGGACGACGGACAAAAAATCGACGGTCGTTTCAACGAAGGAGAGATCGAGATAGGGGAGGAGGGAAAAATACGGAGAAAGGACGAGAGGAATTCGAGAAAAGAGACGACACCGGGGGCTCGAAAGAAAACGGGGCGCGGGGAAAAAAGGAGGCGTCGAGGTAAAAACTGACAAGCGAAAAGAGGGCGAAAGAGTGGAAAAGATCGAGGGCCGACGGCATAGTATAAAAAACGAAAATTGGGTGAACAGAAGAGGAATGTCGATGTTCGCGAGAGGCAACGAAAGAACGAGAAAAAAAGACGCGAACCGAAAGATAGGGGAGACTCGAAGCCACAGCGAGAGAGAGAGAGAGAGAGAGAGAGAAAGAAAGAAGAAAAAAGGGAAAAGAGAGAGATAGAGAGACCAAGAATCGGCAAGGAACGTACGAATATGGAGAAAACAGCCGAGTATAGAAAAGATAGGCGTGGAAGAGATGGGAGAGAAATGAGAGGGAACAAAATTCGCGCGAGCGAATACCAAAGATCGTCCTGCAACGGGTTTGAGGCGTCCGAAGAGCGATATAGGTCGCCCGAGGCGATAACCCTCTACGAATTTGATACTCGTTCGCCATCGTCCTGTTCACTTGATATTATCTCCATTTCCCCTTGTTCGTCGGTTTGCAGATTCTTCCTACCTTCCTTACGAGCAGAGTCGCGCTTCTCGCGGATTTACTATGCGACCGGCCTCGTCACGATAACAGAACTCCGGCCTTGCTATCGGTTGTTTATTTTTATTTACATCGTTCCGCCAGCTAATCTAGCCGATAACAAGAACACAAACGTAATTTTCGAAACTCAGACACATTTAGCCAGTAATTATCTCTCCCTCGTAAAAAAATTTCGACCGTATCCGGCGAGATTCGAATCGCTCTCAGATACGTGTTATTAAACGCCTTTAATTGCGCGTCCTTCGTTTTCGACCAGCCGTATCGGTTATTGTACAGACCGTTGGAAAAGTCTTCTCCGCGGATAAATTTGTAAACAATTTATCGGAACTTCGATAACCAACGTTGACACGTTAAAAGTCAACTACCGCGCGCGGCGATACTTTAACGCTAAACCTATCGACCAATTCCTACCATAACCGGTTTTTAAAAAAACATATGTTTCATAATATAGAATGCAGATAACAGTCAATTTGAATAAGCGAATAAAATATAGTTTCTTTTATTTAGAAATAATGTACATTTTATTCGTTGCATTTGTTTCAAATTACAGATTTTTCTATTCCACATTTTCCACGAACGTATTTTCAGTCTTTAACTATCTAACAAACTCCTCAAGTGGAACTGAAGAGTCCTCCTTTCAAATTCGATACCAAATTTTTCTTTTGTGCAAAAAAGAAGCTAGACTACATACTTTTCTCAGAAAACAAAGAATAAAAAGAAAAGCGAATATTGAAATATTCATAGTGCGTATAGTATAAGAAAAGTAAGAAATTGTAAAAGAAATATAAAAAACGGTCGTTTGACCGGTCGAGGTAGGTTCAGCGTAAAAAAAAAGAGATAAGCGAGGCAATGCGGGAGATCGGCTTCAAGGAACCGATCACGATTATTTCCTGACAATTGTTGATATAAAAAATTCAGTCGCTTAATATCAGAGATCGCCGCGGGGGTACACGCTGCACCGAGAATAATGGCACCGTAATTACGCGATAATACATAAGCGCGGCGACTCGCTCGAAACTCCCTGCCTGCCTATAATCACAAGATGCGGGACACCTTACAATGTTGCAGAGAATAATCTGTCATATTCCATGCGATTCTGGCCGGTCGATCGGATCTTCGGCTTTTTCGAGAGAGGCCTTTGATTTCTTTTGGGCGTCGAGAGGGGTTAAACACAGGTTACCGGGATCGACAACGCCACTATTACACGGCTCGCGTCGAAAACTTGGAAGACAATCTTGCCTTAAGGACGTTAACTGCTGCATATATACTCGCTTCGGCCCTCCCACCCATCCTGCAGCTTAGTCTCCGTCTCCTTAAGATTCGCGTTAACTTTGCTCGGCTCGCGATTGGCCGGCGTCCTCTCACTATACCATTCCACGCCACGGAATCGAAATGGAAAGTGTATTATTAACTGGGTGTTCAAAGTGCGGATCAATTAAGAGAACGATCGCCGTAAATTACGGAACGATTAACCGCAAGCGAGCGACCGCTTTGCGAATAGCCGGTGAAATATTATATAAAGCATTTTCGCTTGGGCGGGGAGCTAAGGAGATTCAATAAGGCCCATTATCGCCTCGCGAGCAGCCCTCGAAGCCTGAAGGCAAGATCGAATTTCAAATCGATGCCGGTTGCTCAGAACCTCGCACGAAGGAGCGAGGAAGCCCGGAATATTTTTCTGCCCAACGAAAGGGTTCGATCGGGCAAATTTAAAATGGACGCGCGACCAGCGCCGCGGCCGTGGACGCGCCCTGTCTTCCTCTATTTATTCCTCGCGCGAAACGAGGAAAAATTTAAATGAAAAAAGAAACCCCAATCGCGTTACGCAGTTTCGTCCATCAGCCAAGTACGGTTAATAAACGAAGCCGGGAGCAAGTTATGTAAAAATTTTTTTTTCCCCGCTTAATCTAGGAAGTGTTTGCTCGACAAGTGCGTTTCAATTTAAACTACAATGTTGCAAATTGCAGTTACACGACATCGCAGATAGATCGCCGGGTTGGTAAGGTTAATTCGGTTGATGCTGCCAAGGAAAAACACGGCAGCTGCCGCGCACGACGATTTGCCGTATCATGGTTGTTATCTCTAAATATACTTACAATCTAGAAACATCATTACTCTTTTTGCCTTTTTGCGCAACTTTGCTGTTACGAGGTAACGATCGAATCACGATACCGCGGAAAAAGTCACCATTCGCGATACGATTGTTCGTTTCTGCAACGAAAAAGAGTATTTCCGTGTAATTAAGATTGCACGTAGGACGTTCGATCTCCAGGTTGCGCCGTGCGCTACGATAAGAGTTTTTATTCGTAAAATACGGCAATAATCCCCTGAAAGGAAGAAAAGCAATTGGAGACTTACGTGGTTGAGCCAGGGCGAAGACGCTCTCCGTTTTAGCAGAATACTCGTCGATCTCCTCGTGGTGCGTAATACCAGGTTCCAGAGGTTGCGGTTGATCGGCCTGCATCCCGTACATGTCCATCAGCTTGGAGATCGGCGGGATTCTCGGCAGAGCCCTACCCGTCATGTTCGGCGCTTGCTTCAAGCCCAGCTTGTTCAGAATCTGTTCCTTGATGGCTTCGAGGCTGAGCGCTCTGATCTCCTCGTGCATCCTGCAAGCGTTACAGGTGTTACCAGCCATCGCCAGATATCTGACATGGGCTCTCTCGATGCCAGGAGCGTCGAAGGCACCGAGGAGGACCAGCGAGAGCAGTAGCAGCGCCCTCCTGACCATCTTGCTCAAGGTCACCCTTAGTCAGATCAGTTACGATCGGCCTTCCTCGCAAAGGGAACGATCAGATGCTCGACTTCATGGTTACACCTTGCCGATTCTTGCTCCGTTCCTTCCTTGACTGAGATATCTGCTCTCGGCCCGCTGCTCCTATCTTACGTTTTATCTCGCGTAGATTAGGGACTCCTTCGTCGCTTCGGTTGCCTTCGCTTCCTCTTCTTCTTCTTCTTCTTCTTCCTCCTCCTCCTCCGCCACCTCCTCCTCCTCCTCCACCTTCTCCTCCTCCAGCTCCTCCTCTTCCGCTATTCGCTTCTTTTTACGCCGCTTATCCCGCGATACCGACTTTTTGATTTTCCGAAATCCTAAGGTACCCCTGCCGAGGAACTTCCTTCTGCAGAGAACGCGCAGCTCGTCACCGTGTCCAGGAGCCGGTACATCACCCGGAGTAGGCGACCAGCCTCGATCACGATCGCGATCTACGCGATCCAGTTTCGCTTCCTTCCTTGCTGACTCCCGTGTTCACCAACTTCTTCGAGCTACGAAACAAATTCGACGGAAACGGGAAAAGATCCGAGAAAAGGCCCGACGTTTACTGTGCGTGGTAACGATGGGAACGAGTGCTCGATACGAGAGTGGGTCCACTTTTCGGTCCTGCTCACCATCAAAAATCATTTACCATAGTCACTCCACTAGAAACACAGAAGGACAACCCGAAGATCACATTGCACTTAGGGGGCGATGCTCGCTCGCTCGCCGCCTCTCAAGACTATCTCTAGATCTTTTTTTTCCAGTGTCCTCCTCAAAACGAAACGGTCCGGTGAACCCTCGTGACCTCCGATTCCAGCGCGAACTTTAATCTCGACACGCGCGCGCTCGTGATACACTGTTTACCGGTGCACCGTGCGTCTCCCTAAACGTATCCTGGCAGCGTATCATGGCACCGGTGAGATGGTATCGAGTCGATCCGTTCTCCGTTACCCTCCCTTTCTTCGTACTCGAGACTCGGGGTGTCCTTTCGCAAACGCGATATACGTCTATATCTTCCTCCGATCCTTCTTCCTAGTTCGAGTCCTAACAATTACTTCCGGATGACCGGGTTCTCCGGGGTACCCAGGCTCGATCGGCGGAACCTCGAAGGTCGCTAAATTGACGAGAGACGGCAAACGAAGAACAAATGGGGCCCCGGAAGGAAAAGAGACACGGTGCCAATGGTCCGCGAGGAAGGAGAAGACAGCGCAGAAGAGAAGAAAGGAGCGTACTCGCGTGGCAGTGGCAGACAGCTGGTGAAGCGTGCCGTGCCGGTGAAACCCGGTGGATCCTAAGAGCTTGCTGGCTTGTCAAGCACTGAGTCAGGAGGCGCGCGTTCTCACCGCATATATGTCGAGGCGTAGGCCTCCTCCTCTTCGTCTTCTTCTTTATTCTTCTCTCTCTCTATCCTTTGGTCTCGCTCCGTCTCCCTCCTCCTCGCGTACGTTCGACGTCTCTTTCTCCGTCTCTTCTCTCCTGTAGTATCTTACGTATTCGCGTGTAGGGGCCGACATATACCTACTTACTCCCGCCTGCACCCGCCGCCAACAACTAGCTCCCTCCTCCTCCTCCTCCTTCTCCTCCTCCTCCTCCTCCTCCTCCTTCTCCTCCTCCTCCTCCTCCTCCTCCTCCTCCTCCTCCTCCTCCTCCTCCTCCTCCTCCTCCTCCTCCTCCTCCTCCTCCTCCTCCTCCTCCTCCTCCACATCCACCTTCTCCACACCTCCACCTCCACCGCCTCCTGCAATTCCTCGCCCTCTTCGCCCTCTGCTTCACCTCCTCCGCCGCCCCTTTATGCCCCGCTACCCCGAGTCATACACCCCCCCCAAGCCACACGATCCTCCCTCCTTCCCGAGAGAGGCTCTCCCTCGCTCCTCCACCCGCCATCCGTCGCCTCTGCCGCCATACTCCGCTCTTTCTCCAGCAATCTCCCTCCCGCAATCCCTCCTAGCTTACCTTCCTTCTCGCAACTTCTCTCTTTTCTCTACGTCTTCCTCTCTACTCTTCTTTTCCCATCTCCGCTTCTTCTCCTCTCTTTACTTTACACACGCTTTGCAACTCATCGGCAACGTCAAAGCCTACCGTATGTTCTTTACGATCGGCAACCGATTGACTGCCGCTAGCCTCCATGACCCTCCGTCCTCCTCATCCTCGTCCTCGTCCTCCGATTTTCGTCCTAGAACGAAACGACCGTTCATTAACTACTCGAATTGCACTCGAGACCGCTTTCGTATATCGACTTGGAACGATTTTCTTTTTTTTTGTTTTTTCAATTACTACTTTCGTGAACGACGCGTCGAGTAGGTCCATTTCCCTCCATTCATCGACGCGTCGCCGAGATCATCGCTAAACAATCTCGACGCTCGCGTGGTACCTCCGATTCGAAGCGAATTCGATTCGAGACTCACGCAAATGAATTTCGTTTCGACGAATCGATATGCACGTTTGTACGAAAATTACGACCCACCGCATAAATATTCACTAACTTTACTGTACTCGCGTGTAGCGCAACGTATGTATTACAGGGTTGGTAATCCCCTTAACAAACGAATAAAAAGAGCGAATCGGCTCGACCGTTTCTTTTCTCTTCTCGGCCGTGACGTAATTCGAAAATGGAAACGAATGCGCGAAATTTCAAGGTTCTCCGAAAGGATATTCTAGGAGTCGACCGAGACAGGATCCGAGGCATTTAGCATAAAAGGAAATTTAAAATTCGATGAAGACTTGGCAGCGTGCAACGTCTGCAATTTGTGCACGGTCACGATGAAAAATCGATCGAATTTTTATGCGGTCCGAATCGAGGGCACGCTCGGAGCGCACTGTCCCGCCGATGAAGCAGATGCGATAGCAAACGAAAAGAACAAGAAAAAATAAAGGCGACCGTGGACGGAAGAAACGGGGATCGACGAGATAGGCCATCGACTAACTTTTTTTTCCACGATATTTGAAATCCAAAACGATTCAAATCCCGCGCATCGCTCGGCGCATGCTCGCTCGCGCCAGGATGCGCTACGACAAACATCGCGGAACAATGAAATCGACTATTTTTACCTCGCGCAGAAATTTTATTCGTGAAAAAAAAAGCTTCTCGATAGTCGATCTCTAAGCCTCGAAGATCCTCCTAAGCTTGTTCAACACTCGCACGACTATCGTTAAAATAGTTATCCGAAAGGCGATCGCTGGTATATTTTTAGTCCCGCATCTTACATTTCGCAATACTTATTTATTTAAAGTTCTAATAATAATGCAGAATATTAATTTTACTCGCTTGTTAGAAGACAGAATGATCCTAATTTTGTTCAAAATATTTTTTAGTTTTATTAAAAGAATTTTATTAGACTCTTGCTCTTACAATACCAATGAAATATAAACAGTCACAGAATGCATAATGAATACCAGGTACATTATTTAGAAAATAGGGGGAAAGAATGAATAACAAATAAGTGGTATCCGAGTCTAAAAAGACTGACCAATCGCCGTGCGAGTGTTAAACCATTGACTAATTAATTTTCTTTTTCAGACATTTGCATAACACTATTGATTTTAGTTGTTAAATAAAATCAAATTACGTTTCCAGAATAGAAATAATATATGCTGGGTCTAAAAGCACATCGTGATTTCAGTAAATGTGAGAAAGTGATGGGGTTAAATATCTGTGATTCTTAAATAGGAAACGTGGCAACTAATCGATAATTTACAAATTGCTTCCACTTACCAGTAAAAATTATTGTACATTAGTCGATGGTCTTTAGTTCAATCAAGACTTATTAATATTATATGCACATATGTATATTTTATAGTCCCACTCGCTTTGAACCTGAATCTTCGATATTTATTTATTTAAATAGACAATAAATTTTTTATAAATAACGAACGCACAATCTCATTATTATAGTTACATATTGAAATTCTGATGTAAGGAAAATAAACAATGTTAGAAAGCGATAGCCCCATGGATAGATTGTTCGAAAAAATAATTATTAAAGAGATTATTAGTATAATTACGCACTCTAGATGCAAGGAAGCGTTAAAAAAAATTAATACAAATTGATATAACCATTATTGAGTATAAACAAAAAGTTACGAGTCCATATTTAAAAAACATAAAATGTATAATACCTATTAGATACGGATATTCTATGCGACTAATAAACACGAGGTTAACGTATTTAAATTACGCTTGCATATTTAAGTTTAAAACGAATCAACGTATACCAAAGAGTTATCGAAGCTAAAGGATTTTTGAAGTCGGAAAATTCATGAGAACACATTCATAATATATTCAACACCGGACGTCAGTATTTATAAGCAGATTATTTATTGTCCAGCGGTTTAACTTTGTTGCGAATCAACTGATTCGCCGTATCGATAAGCGATACAAGTAACGTTATAACTGTCGATAATCATCGGCCAGGCACAAAAAGACAGCAGAAGATTAATCGAGAAAGTTTAATCGATGTGTCTTCGACGCCGGATTTTTCTCAGAACAATATTTTTCTTGGCCAATCATCCGACACGGGCGCCTTTTACTTCTTCGAAGCTTCATCTTCGATATTACGTCGTTTAATAAAACGGCAATATTAATTACATCCTGCTGCTCTTTTTTTCGAGGTAACAGCCCAACTGCATTAATTAGCATCCTCGGGACAGTGGGCTTAATTATGACCGTAAGAGAAAGAATATCGTTCCCCACCGATCATTTTCTCTTTCATCTCGTCCTTGTCCAAAACGATACCAAACTTATTCGATACAACGCTCGTTATTTATTCAGTGCAAAGTCGATGTCATGATTTTCGATCGCCAGTAATTGAACGTTTTTATACATATTAATAACGATCGTTGCCAGGCAAGATTTTTCTTCCATATTATTACATTCTCGTTTATCGATTAATACGAATGCGTGGTGAGCATTTATTATTCTGTCGTTCGTAACAACACTTCTCAAATTATGTTTCGCGCTGGTGTTTGAGAAACGAATTAAAATGTAATGAAAGAAGATTTATCAGTTTTTTTTTTGTTTTTTAAGCTCATCGAAGCAATTTGAGAAAAGCAGAATGACAGCCCCTTCTGTAAAATTTGTACGTTCATTCGTAAATTAATTTCCATTTACATATCGTTCGTAAATTAGGATTCAGTGAGGGATTTTGCTACTGACAACCAGGCGAGCGAAGCAAACGAAATCTACAATTTTTATT